GGGGAGAGCCCAGGGCTTTGGCCACCTCCCGGCAGCGCTTTCCTCCTCTTTCCTGCAGATGTTGGTTTGGGGGTCTTTGATGTGGTGGTGACCGACAGCTCCTGTCCTGTGGTCATCTTGAAATGTTCAGAAGCCTTACAGCTGCCCGTGGTCAACCAAGAGTGGATCATCCAAAGCCTTGTTGCGGGCAAGACGGTTGACTTCAAGCACCCGCAGTATCGGCTGGGGTCTGGCCCCTCTTGAGCTGGGCCCTGCTGCAGGCTCCCCCTGTCTGTCGGCTGACCTGTGCATGATGTGTGCTACAGTTAAATTGTTGGCCTTTTATGAAAATAAACATTGATTTTTTTTTTGTGGTTGTGTTAACAGCATGCTTTTATTTTTGTCATCTCTCAAGGAGGCCCAGCGTGGTTCCTTTGCACCAATGAAGAGTTTCTTCCAAATCAATCCCAGCTCAGTCATTTGCACAGGTCCTGTTTTCTTAGGATGCAGGGCTGATACCTGGGGATGAGTCTGAGTGGCGAGGATCCCTGCCAGATTATAGGGCTGCGCCAAAGAGTCCACATGCCTTGCTGCTCTGTTCCACTTAGACCCTCAGCAGCACAGCATCCAGCTGACTTTGGCCTCCCACGCCGTGAAGGCTGGCTCACGCGCATAGTCTGGGTGTGGCTGGAAGGATCTCTTCGCCCCACTTTTCTGTGTTCCCCCCTTAGCCAGAGAAGACACTGGGCCCCCCACAACACTTTGGTAAGGCTGCAGGGGTGCGTGTTTTGATGAAGCGAGCTCGTTAAAGGCTGGGGAGGGGGACCCCCACAGCTGAGCAGTCTGAGGAACGCTCCCGGAAGCAGCCAGTGCTCCGAGCCTTCCCAGGAGGGCCGTCATGGACAGAGACCAGAGGCTGGGAAGGAGGAGGAGGAGGGTGGCTGCTTCCTTGGCCTTGCCAGGTGCTCCCTGTTTCCATCTCACACCAGATGATAACGCCCCACCCCCACCCCCTTACAAAAGCAGAGAAGCAACCCTGGTCTAATACAACCTCTGCCTTCTGATGGGAGGCAGAGAAAACCCCTTTCGGACCCACTGCGCAGGGTGTGCGAGCCCTTCCTTTGCTTTCTGAAGAAGCTCCATACCAGGAAAGAAGTACCAGCACGCTTTATTGAAGCTTGTCCAGTTCCCCGGTTGTGAGGGCGAAGTGCCTCTGCTGGCGCTCCTGCGTCCTCCTCACACTCCCCCGGCAGGCAGGGACAACCCCGGCTCCTTGCTCCAGCCAAGGTGGGTTCACTCCAGCCCCACACTGAAGAGGAAGAGGGACAGTGAGAGGCAGGACTGGGCACAGGAAGAGAAGGAAAAACTCTTTAGCGTGCACCCCCCCCCCCCCCCGGTGGGCAGAGGCTCCAAGGCCAGAGAGGAGGCGAACCTGGAGGGTTACATCATTGTTACAAATCCTCCCATTCAGATTGTCTTGTTGGAGAAGTTAGCCAGCCCCTAAGCTCAAAGACCAGTGAGCAAGTGTGTGCCCAGAGGACAGAGGAGCTGGCAGGGCTGCCAAGAAGGAACGGGACTGGTTTCGGTGAGCTGTCTAGCCCTGCTGGGCCGTGTGTGTGTGTGTGTAAGGACAGGGCCAGGGAGAATCTAAAGCCCTGTGGTGGATCTTGGTAGTCGAGGAGCGCCTGGGGGAGCCGAAGGCGGTAGCAAGACTTTTCAGAGAAGGGGGAGGCCCAAAGGGAGGAAAAGTGGTTAAAACGAGGCCTGTATCCTCTGTATGCACCACCGCCTGCCACACGTAAGAGGCATGCGTGGATACCCCCAAGGCAGGTGCTTTGCTCCGCTGTACCTGCCCAAGGTGCCTCCAGCCTGTGTGTAATACTTGTTGTAATCCAAGCGTAGCAGCAGCTGAGCCAAGTCTGAGTTTATCTGGTGGTTGTGAACACTGGAGAGAATCTTGAAGAGAAGTGAAGACTGACTGCTGAACCCCTGCAAGACAAGCACACAAGCCATTTCTCCTGTTTCCCACGACGCCCCACTAAAAACGGCCCTGCTGTCTGTTTAGTCCAGCACGTCCTGCTTCACGCAGCAGCCAGCCAACCAGTGGCCTTGGAGGACCAACTAAGGGCACTGAAGCCAGGGAGAGGGTGTTGGTTCCTTGCGCTTGCATTCCAAGGCTTCCTTTGGTCAGCTTGGCTAGTAACCATTGATGAAGCTGTTCATCATGAATGGTCTTTTAAAGCCACCTGTTCTAGTAGCCAAGCTATCACTACATCCACTCACAGTGAATTCCACTTGGTTGCTCTCGTCTTCACTTTCCCCAGCTCTGCAATCTATTTTGAGATCTAATGCCAGTAACAATGCCCGTTTAGATCTATGGTGCAGCCTCAGTTGCAAACAGAAGGTACCGTGGGATGTTATGAGAACACAGGCTTTTCTACTCAGAAATGTGACTATTAAACACAAGTGATGGCAACTATTCCACTTCTCTCTCTGGGCAAAGTCAAAAAGCCCTGGAAGGTTTCTTCAGAAAAAGCGCATTTGGAAGCCACCGCCTATCCTACAAGGATGCCTGTGACTATGTGACTCAATCACATATCCTGTGACTGAGCTGATGCTGTGGAATCAGTAGGGCTGATCTATTGCCTGAGCAGGTTGACTCTGGACCAGTAAGGAACACACAGACCCCGTGGCTTCACAAGCAGTGCCACATGTAGACACGTGGCTTCTCTCAAGCTACTGAATTGCCACACAGGGGGGGACTTCTTTCTCATGCTTCCCTTCAAACTTCAGGATTGCCTCTCCTGGTGTACCCCCCCCCCCCCGAAAAACACTTGGCTGCTAAGAACCTGCTGGTGGTTCCCAGCCCGAGAGAGATCTGGCTGTCCTCAACCAGGGCCAGGGTGTTTTTGGCCCTGGCTCCAACCTGGTGGAGCTCTGTACCAAATAACATCCATGTCCTGCTGGACTTAATGCAAGACAGAGATGTTCCGTCAGGCGTCTGGTTGAGGACAGTGACCGCTTTCCACCTGGCTGGCTGGCACCTCCCTTTCTCCTGCAGTGGCACATTTCCTGGCAGTTCCTTTACCATCCCACTGGATTAGATATAGGTTATCTTCTTTGCTGTATGGTAATAAGGATTTTAAATATTTTATTAGGTATGTTTTATATTGATGCGCACCGCACTGCACCCAGTCTCATAGGGGAGGCTGGTTTTACACACTGAACTTAATAAATAAATAAATAATAAAAATGCCCCCCACCCCGTCCTTTGGTCGGCAGCAGGAGTGGATGGCAAATGTCCCCCTGTCCTGTAATACCATTTTAAAATGTGGGGAAGGTTGCTGCCAGAAATAGGCAAGATGCAGTTACAAAAAAAGCAAAAGGGTTGTGTCAACTTGCTGCCTTCCTTCACCCACAGAAGCGTTTGCTGCCGCGCCAAGATGGTACCCTGGGGATTTCATTGTCTCCTGCCATCTGCACACACCAGACACTGCGTTCGGAAGAGGAACGGCTGTACCTTGGCCAGGATGCTCAGCTGGGTGGTCCCCCGCTCGTCCAGTGGTCCTAGGTTCTGACTGACTAGAGAGCAGAAGCTATGACAGAGATCCAGGATTTCATTCAGACAGTGGAAAGCCTGCAGACCAAGAAAGCACAAGGGTGTGAGGGACAGCGAGGGCTCACCCGGCCCCACAGCCGCCTTGGCTGTCTGGAATTCCACATCTCTCCCCGTTTATTATTATTATTTCTTAGACTTATTGATCACCCGATCCGGACTTGCGCCGGGCTCTGGGTGATTTAAAATATGGCATTAAGCCTTAGGAACAATATACAAACTTTAGATAAAATTAATAGTATTAAAAAAACAGTTTAAAACAAATTCAAGACGGCGTCACTAACAGTTATACAACTGAATACCTAGAATTCTGAAATTATTTTGGTCACTTCCCAAGTTCTTTTTGGCTGGTTTTATTTTGGAGGGGCAGGATGGGGGTGGGCGCCAGCCACGCTGGAAAACTGTCGCTGTCCCTGACCAAAAGCCTGGCGGGACATCTCTGCCTCGCCGGCCCTGCAGAACTCCACGAAGGGGCCCCCCGCAGGGCTCCGACTGCATCAGGCAGGGAGTTCCACCAGGGCGGGGCCAGGAAGCTGAGGAGGCCCCGACCCTCTTTGGGGCCAAGGGCCACCAGTGAGTGGTTACCTGCAGAGCGTGACGCTTTCCCGGGGGCATACTGAGGGAGACGACGGGCCCTAGACCACTCAGAGTTAACACCGAGACCTGGAACCGGACTCGGTATTCCACTGGAAGCAAGTACAGCTGACGCAGCAGCGGCTGAATATGTGCTGTCCGTAACGCTTCCATCAGGACTCACGCCACCGCGTTCTGGATCAGCCTCAAGGGTAGGCCAGCATAGAGCAAGTTACAGTAGTCTAACCTTTGCAGGGATTACTGTGGCTAGATAAGGACACAACAGGAAAGGAGCCCATTGCTGAACCTGGCGAAGGTGGGAAAACACCAGTTTAGTAATATACATGACTTGGGTCTCCATAGTGAGGGAGGGATCCAAAATCACATCCAAACTCGGTGGAAGGCACCGGTCTCAATTGTGCCCCAGCAAGAGATGGAAGCCTGGGCTCCAGCCCCGAAGTTCTACCCCCCCAGCCACAGAACCTCCGTCTTTGCTGGATTCAGTCTCAACCTGCTGTTTTTTTAACATCCCACCACAGCCAGCCTCCAGACCCTCGGCCAAATTTTGTGAGGCAGCAGACATCAACAGATACGGCACCTGTGCCAGCCGGGCAAGGGGGCACGTACACAGGTGTTAAATAACACCGGGGAGAGGAGCGGGACCCCACACAGCAGGGGTTTCCTAGAGGACACATCCCCTCCCAGTGCGACCCTCTGTCCCAGACCTTGGAGAAACGAGGGAAGCCATTAAAGGGCCACCCTACAAATTCCTACGCCGGCGAGGTGGTGAGCCAGAAGATCGTTAAGTGACTGTGTCCAACACTGCTGTGAGGTCAAGCGACAACAGCGGTGCCGACCCACCTCGATCCAGCTGTCTATGGAGATTTTTCATTCGGGCGACTGACAGCGTCCCCATCCCGTGGCCGGGGTGAAAGCTGGGCTAGAATGGATCCAAGGCCAACGTGTCACCCAGGAAAGCATGGAGTTGTCGGGCTGCCACTCTCTCAATCACCCTAACCAGAAATGAGGGATTTGAGACGGGACGGTAATTGGCTGGACCTGAAGGATCCAGTGATGCTTTTTTCAGCAGTGGTACTACCACGGCCTCTTTAAGACCCTCCGGATAGACCCGTCTCCGGGGAGAGACTGACAATGTCTATCAGAGGGCCGGTCTCTGTCTTCCCACCGCTGGCTTTAACCAGCCATGAGGGGCCCACGTCAAGGAGGCATGTGGTCAGCCTGCCAGTGCCCAGGACCCTGTCAACATCGGCCGGGGAGAGCAGGCGGAAGGAGTCAAGAGCTGGATCCAGAGACGGTCACGGGGCCTCCAGCTCACATTCTGCATCAACACTGGCAGTGACCAGACTTTCTCCATGAAAAAGCTCGCAAATGCCTCAGTGCTAATAGTCAAATTTCTACATCTATTTTGGTGTCTCTCAGTGAGAGATGTCAGAGACCAAATCACCCTCAATAACTGTGCCGGGCAACAGCTAGCGGATGCGATGGAGGCTGAGCAGAATTCCCTCTCCGCAGCGCCTTCACTGCCATCTCGTAGGATTTCATGAGCGTCCTATAAGATGCCCTTGTAACTTTGTCGTGAGTACACCACCAAACTCGCTCAAGTTATCCAAGCGACAACTGAGTTCTTTCAAGGCGACTATTTCGCCTTCCCTGATTCAGGTCTCGGTCGCATGAGCCAGATCCACATTTTGTGCTGCAACATAGTCTTGCAGTGTTCTGGTCTCACTGTTTATGGATCTGGTGTTGCCCAACGTCCATGCCTCCACACCAGCGTGTCTCGGGATGGGACAAAAGTCGGAAAGAGAGCGAGCACGTCCCTGTCCGTGTCTCTACCTCTTCCCGCCGCCATGCCTTACCCCTGCCCCCCCCGAGTACGGGGCCCCCCAGCCCAGGGCTGGCACCCAGGCTGAGGTCACCAGTTCCCATCTCCCGCTCTCACTACGACCCTCTACCACCACCACCGTGACTCACAGTACAACAGATTTGATCAAATTTACAAATATAATAACTACAGCCAATGGGCTAAAAACAAAACAATCTCATCAGGTTAAGAAGTGAAGGGCGCCTTGCAAAGAGACGCTGCGGCAATGTGGAGGCCGCTCTGAGGCGCCTTCTGCGCGCTCCGTCCCCTCCTCAGCCCCCGCATTCGGGTCCAGCTGGCCTCAGGCAACCGCACAGGGACCCAAGAGCCTTCCTGTTACGCTTAGGCCCCTCCAAAGGTAGGCTGGGTCTTCGCCCACTTCATGGGAGCCGAGGACTGTAAGAGCACAGGGTTGGAGCTCTCTCTAAAGGCTCCGCTCCGGTCGCTATCTTAGTCACTTGCCTTAGTGATGGCAAGAAAACATTTTAAAACATAAACTGTTAAATCCATTTAACACATTTCCATGGCCAAGGGAACTATTTTGAGGTTTGGTGTAGTGGCTAAGTTTGTGGTGGTTAAGTGCAGGCGGACTCTAACCTGGGAGAACCGGGTTTGATTCCCCACTCCTCCTCCACTTGCACCTGGCTGGATGACCTTGGGCAAGCCATAACTCTGGCACAGCTGTTCTTGAAAAAGAGCAGTTTTTGTCAGAGCTCTCTCAGCCCCACCTGCCTCACAGGGTGTCTGTCTGTTGTGGGGAGGGGGAGGGAGAGGAGTTTGTCAGCCACTCTGAGACACCTTCGGGTGGTGAAGGGCCATGGGGTATAGATCCAATATAAATCCAATCTCTTCTTCTTCTTCTTCGTAAGGAGCTGGCCAAGCAGCCCGCCAGTGTGGAGTAAATCCCAAGGCTGTCCCACGTGCCTCTCCACGGCAGCCTTGCTACCCCTGCTGAGCCAGCTGCTGCCTCCCCCACAAACACAGGACTGGAAGACCTGCCCTGGTGATGCCAAGTGCACGGGGGCCGGCTCTTTACTGCGTCAAGTGACAGTTTTACTGACTTGCATATTTTATGCTCACGGCCAAGGAGGTACCAGAGAAACAACGTGAACCGCATAAGGGGGGGGGGGCTTCTGTCACCATGCAGCCTTCACCTCTAGCGCGTGTTCACGGACGGCTGGTTCCAGCAACTCTTGCCCATCTGCAGGCAATAGCACCAGAGTGGCGTGTGCCTTGTGGGACTAAGAGGC